AGATTGAGCAAGAGGAACCTCAGCAAATCATTAACTTGATCATTAGTGGAGATGACGTCCCCCAAGGGCCAATGTGAAAACGCACTAAAGTATTCATTACTAGGGAAAAACGGACTCGAGATTATGTACTGGAGGGAACCATATCTTTCAATGACGAGGATGCTGAAGGCATCGTACAACCACACAATTATGCGCTAGTAATATCTATACTCATAAAAAAATCTCAAGTTAAGTGTGTGTTAAATGACCCAGGTAGCTCGGCCAATATCATCAGATCGAGTGTCATGGAACAACTGGGTCTGCAAGACCAAATAGTGCTTGCAGTCCGAGCCTTTAACGGATTCAACATGGCATGCGAGACCACTAAAGAGGATATAACCCTGCCGATGAACACCGCCAGAACCATTCAGGAAACAAAGTTATATGTGATCGAAGGAGATATGAGATACAATGCCTATTCGGGAGGCCATGGATTAACAATATGAGGGCAGTGCCCTCGACACTACATCAGGCATTGAAAGTTCCCACACCGGGAGGGATCAAAACTATTAACGGGGAGCAACCGGTCTCAAAATAAATATTCGCGGTCGATAAGATTGTCCTTATATCCGCACTCTCGACATCAAAGAACCCAAAATTCTTTCACTAAGGGAGAAACCAAATAGCTATCATCGACGACGGCCCCCACCGAACCAGAAAAGTAGGAGACATGCAAGGATGATGATTACGGAGTCCCTAGGTCTTACAAAGTCCCTGACGATTCCGATGCCACTAAGTTAATGATTGAGGAGCTGGAGCGAGTCAGGTTGATCGAGCATCTACTGATCAGAAGTATACCTAGGCACGGGGCTAAGATCTGGGCTCAGCAAAAAAACTCATTGAATTCCTTATAGCTAACATAGATTGTTTCGATTGGTCCCATCTTGACAAAATAGGGATCCCGCTGAAAATAACTACTCACAAGCTGAGCTTGGATCTAAAGTTTCACACGGTTAAACAGAAGAGGAGGCCTCAGTCCAAAGTCAAGCAGGCATTCATCAAAAACAAGGTATCCAAACTCCTTAAAATAGGCACCATTCGGGAAACGTAGTGGTAGTGCCTAAAAAGCTAAATAAATTAAGAATGTGTGTAGACTATAAAGACTTGAACAAGGCAAGCCCTAAAGACTCTTTTCCTTTGCCTAATCGCATGATCGATGCGACGACCGACCATGAGATACTCAGCTTTATCGATGCCTATTCCGGGTACAACCAGATTCGGATGGACCCGGGCGACCAAGAAAAGACTTCCTTCATTACTAAATACGACACCTAATGTTATAACGTAATGCCATTTGGACTAAAAAATGTTGGTGCCACTTATCAACGCCTAGTAAATCAGAACAAGGTATCCACACCTGGAAAAATTGGCGCTCGCTTTGCTAAGCGCCTCCAGCAAGTTAAGGCCATATTTTTAATGCCATCCCATACGTGTCGTGACTACTTACCCATTGAGGAATATAATGCACAAACCCGAGCTCTCGGGACGATTGGCCAAATGGCTCGTGGAAATTAGCGGGTACGATATTGAATATCGATACCGAACAACCATCAAGTCTCAAATTTTGGCAGACTTCGTGGCCGACTTCACGCTGGCCTTAATACTCGAGGTCGAAAAAGAATTGTTGTTAACCTCGAAGAGCTCCTCGGGGATCTGGACCCTATTTACGGACGGTGCATCAAACACAAAGGGGTCCGGACTCGGCATCATGTTGAATCCACTCTCGAGTAACGTAGTTAGGCAATCTATTAGAACTACGAAATTGACTAACAGTGAGGCCAAGTACGAGTCCATGATTGTAGGTCTAGAATTGGCTAAAAGCCTGGAGGTCGAAGTGATTGAAGCTAAATGCGATTCCTTCCTTGTGGTGAATCAAGTCAATGGGACATTCGAAGTAAAGGAGGAACAAATGCGAAGATACTTGGATAAACTACAAGTAATGCTGCATCGATTCAAGGAATGGACCCTACAACACGTGCATTAGGATCAAAATAGTGAAGTCAATGCTCTGGATAACTTGGGGTCGTCAGTTGATGATGATGAATTCAGCTTGGGGACGGTCGTACAACTCATGAAATCGGTAGTGGAAGAAGGACACGCCGAGATAAACTCAACAAGCTTAACCTGGGACTGGAGAAACAAGTATATAGATTACCTGAAGACCGAGAAGTTGCCCTTGGATCCTAAAGATTCGAGGGCTCTACGCACGAAGGCGGCTAGGTTTAGCCTGTTCGAGGATAATACCCTGTTCAGAAGAACGTTCGATGGCCCACTCACGGTATGTCTAGGACCGGGAGACAACAAATATGTTTTGAAGGAGGTTCATGAAGGCACATACGGGAACCATTCGGGGGAAGAATCGTTGGTTCGTAAGATGATCAGGGCTGGCTATTACTGGATCGACATGGAGAAAGATGCAAAGGAGTTCGTGCAAAAATGCGACAGCTATTTGAGGCATGCGCCAATGATCCATCAGCCTGGGGAGCTACTACATTCGGTCTTGTCACCTTGGCCGTTCATGAAATGGGGAATGGACATCGTCAGTCCCCTTCCATGGGCACCTGATAAGGCTCAATTTGTACTATTTATGAGTGACTGTTTTTCTAAATGGGTTGAAGCTCAGGCATTCGAGAAAGTCGGCCACATAATATTGATTTTATGTCAGTTTGATGTTATCTGGGACCACATACTATGTCAGTTCGGAATGTCGGCCGAGATCGTATGTGACAACGGGAAGCAGTTCATTGGCAGCAAGGTAAGCACATCTTTCGAAGACCATAAGATCAAAAGGATCTTATCAACACCCTATCATCCTAGTGGGAACGAGCAGACGGAGTCAACAAATAAAACCATACTCCAAAAGCTTAAGAAAAGGTTGACCGATGCCAAAGGAAAATGGAAGGAAATTTTGCTCGAAGTCCTATAGGCATACCGTACGACCTCACTAGTACCAGGGCCACCCTATTTTCGTTGGCCTACGGTTCCGAAGCACTAATACCGGTAGAGGTGGGAGAACCGAGTCTCAGGTTTTGATATGCGACCAAAAAGTCAAACGGTGAGGCCATGAGCATAATCCTGGAACTATTGGATAAAAGGAGCGAGGCCGCCCTCGTACGGTTGGCCGCCCAGAAGCAACAGATCGAAAGGTATTACAACCAGAGAGCCAACCTCCGACACTTCAACATCGGGGACTTGGTGTTAAGAAAGGTGACACCGAACACCCGGAATCCGAAGGGAAGCTGGGATCGAATTGGGAAGGTCCGTATCGAATTATCAGGATTACTAGTAAAGGTTCGTACAAACTCGAAGTAGGAAGCGATGAGCGGCTACCAAACAACTGGAACGTGACCCACTTAAAACGATACTACTATTAAGGTACGACTCCGCTCATTCTTTACATATGTGTGTGTGTATATATATATATATATATTGCGAATTGGACTAACACTTGTATGCAATAACCAAAGGATGATATAGTTGTTAGTCCTGAAAGCACGCATTGCACTCTTTTTCCCTTAAACCGATTTTGTTCCAAATGGGTTTTTCAGAAAGGTTTTTAACGAGGCAACAGTGGGTCGTGCTAACTTAAAATCAAAGACCAGTTCTGAATCGGAGTCTATGGTCACATCAATAGTATCCGAGCCCTCTCGACAATCGACCTCGTATACTGGGGGCCACCACCCTCAGGTAATGATTTTAGCAAGGAAGGAAACTTTGTGCTTGAACAGTCTGGGCCCAGTGGATAAGATTTATTGTAAGGGCCAAACAGTTGAATAAGCCGTGTCCGCGTAGACCACCTAAGTCATAACACGAAGCTTGTACACACTTACAATCTTATATATTATGCACAGGAATGAAAGAAAGTTTCTACCTTGCTGATACATATTTTGTTCTTTAAAAGTATTACATTTTATTCCTAAAGAATATCGAGCCCAATGGCCGCCTCTATTCGGATCTAAATTCCTTAACGATATCGAGTCCAAGGCCCGCCTCTATCCAGATCTAATATATTTCCCCTACTCGTTCGAAACAAATTCGGACGGTTAGGGATGTCAAAACCTGGAGGCAAAAGAGCTTATTAGGCCGTGCCTAAACTTAAAAGGCTACGGCCATCCCCACTCGGGGACTGTCGTCCAAGACAAACTCGGACAACTCAGGCTACCGGAGCCCGGAGGTATAAAGCCTATTAGGCAGTACCTGAACCTAAAAACGGCTCAGAGACGTTCGAAGCCCGTAATCAAAACATAAGGCCTTCAAAATTCTAAAGTTGTTCGAAGGGTACCCTCGACACAATTATAATCAAGAAATTTTTAAATGAGAATCTCAAGGAAAGCTTTCAATCATTCCGAGCCCCCATAAGTTTTAAGCAAAACTTGTATCGAGGACAAGTCTTGTTCGAGCCTCTGAAAACGGCTTATTGCAACATCTAAATCTGTGCTAAGGCATTTGAAATCTTTGCAATTACGAGATGCTAATGACAACAGACTTGAAAATTTCCGAAAGGGAAAAAAATTTATATACATTCCAAAATGTCTTTACAAAGGCCAACAAAAACGGCCTCAACAAATGTACAAAATGCAAAAACAAAGAAGAAAATTCCTAAGGCACCTGTGCCTGACCTTTACCAGAACCCGCCTTGTCACCAGAGCCGTCGGGGTCTTCTCCATCTTCGGCTTCGTTAGAGCCCTCAGAGCCTTCTTTACCCTCGGGTTCAACCAATTTCTTGGCCTCAACCTTGAGCTTTTTGCCTCTTCAATCTTGACCGACATGTCGAAACCTCGGGCATGAATTTCCTCGAGGGTCTCCCTCTCAGACAATCACATCACGTACTCAACGGTGACTTTCAGTTGGGCCTCGGCTTTCTCGACATCGGCCATGTACTAGGCCACTATCTCTTCAATATTAGCCCAGGTTGTTTCCGACTCGGACCTTTTTATTTTGAGATTCTTGCCAAGGGCATCTCATTCAACAACGGTCAAGCCCAGTTGAGCTTGGAGGTCCTTGATTTTTCGAGCCTGTGCTTCGACCTTCTCTTTCGCCACTCCGAGTTGGACCTCTACCGATGCCAGCTGCTCGTGGGCGGTCTCCTTCACCGAAGCCAGCCGGTCCAGTTTTTCCTTCCAGACATCGGCCATGGCCTTGACCTCGTTCATTTCAACATAGTGTTGGTCGATCCGGTCAATCTTCTGCTGGACCTGTAAGGTTTGGTCATTAGTCGCCGTGTCTAAGTCATCATCGTTAACCTTGAAAATCTTTACCTGTTCCAACAAGTCGGCATGCTCCTTTTGAGCAGCATCCAACTCGACCCGGAGATTCTTGACAGCCCCTTCGTGTTGCTCGCTGAGAAGCTTATGCATGTCTCTTTTCTCAGCAAGCTCCCTAGCCTCAGCCTCAGCCTCGAGCTGGTTAAACTCAGCCCTGTATCGAAGAAAGCTCTCATGATGGAGTACCGAGGCCTGGAAAAAGATATAAGAAAGAAGACATGAGAAATATCAAGAACTAAGTTAGAGGATAAAAGAGCGTAATGATGCCTTCAGTGCCTGCTGCGCTTCGTTGAACAGGCACGGTATGCCCACTTCATTCATTTTTTCCTGGTCTTCTTCGGTTACCAGGAATCGAAGTCAGAAAGAACCCGAGCATCCTCTGGGATGGTGATGATTATCAACCTCTTACGGCCGGGATCTGTACTCGGGGCGGGAAACTGGCTGATCAACTTTGGGCTCGAATTCAGCCCGCCAGTTTCTGAAGACGGCTGCTTCCTCGGCACCTCTAGGTCGCCCAACCCAATGAAGTCTTCCAAAGCAGCCGAATCCGCACCCTCAAAAAAAGAATGAAGGGGATCGTCCGCACCATGAGCCCCTTCGTTGGATCATTCCTTTACCGTTCGAGCCTTCTCGAGCATGGACAAGGTATAAGAAGGCAACCTTGAAATATCTATCACACCGGGCGCCTCCTTCAGGGCGTGACCGGCATCTCGGGATATCTCAGTTTTGATCTTTTCATCGGTCTCCCTGGTCTTAGGGAGATCGACCTCGTAGATCTCCTCTTCAACAATCGCCCGCTCCTGGGGAGGTGTTGGCTCACGGGCCACAAATATATCATCCTCGGGCTCATCCCTGAGCCGAAAAAGTAATTCTGAGTCAGGTGATTGAGAGCTTGAACTTTTCTTTGGCTTGCAGGCCAACCTTCTCTTTGGTTTCTTCTTCTTTGGGCCTGGGGAGCCCGGAGCCTTCCTTTTCCTTTTTTCTCCTGCTGCAGCCCCGAGTTGTGCCAATGTGGAAGGGCCAACAGACAGATCCTCGTCCCCTACTGTAGGTCTGAGTTTAACGGTTTTAGGCAAACCTGCAGAGGGAAAAATGAAGGAAAGAGGGTAAGTACAATAGAATGGGAGAGCCAGAAGTTACCTATTCGAGGAAGGGTCTTCCCATGAGAACAGGCTTCCTAGCGGCCCCTCGAGAGTTTGCGCTATGAGCGCTCGGAATAAGGCATCTATGAGAAAAAGCACTCGATCCACTCCGTGACCCGAGGGACAACATTTGCAACTCGAGCAACAGATGCACCACCAAAAGTAATAATGAGAAAAGAAAAACAAAAGGGGGGGGGGGGGAGTGATGAGGAGATAAACATAAAATCGACATCTAAAGTAAAACTGTGCTACGCGATGTATTCCACTCTCGGGGAATGGCATGAACTCGGAAGAGACCAAGTTTTCGGTCTTTACCCGAACGAAGCGTCCCTGCCAGCCCGAATCACGGTCTTCGTCGATACTCGAGAACGGGCCTTTGCTGGCCCGACGTATGAGCTTTATTAGCCCTCCTTGGAAGATTCAGGGATGTATATGCAGAGTACGTTATCGATGGTGAACCGCAGGGACTCAGCTTTGTTCATGAAATACCGGAGGGGGATCACGATCCTCCACAGCGACAGATGAATCTGACCGAGGCGCACTTCGTACCTCTTACAGAAGTTCAGAGTAACCGGGTCTGTCGGGCCCAATGTGGAGGGATAAGTGTAAACACTTAGATATCCCCTCACCTGAGTAGTGATGTCGTCCTCAGGCCCGGGGACTACTACGTCATTGCCGACCCAGTTACAGTCCTTTTGGACCTCGGGAAGGACGTCCTCGGTAATGCTCCATATATATCTTGATACTCCTTCATGCCGACCCAGCAGCGACGAGGGCTTCTAAACCTTGAAGTCATCGGCGACCGAACAACCCCCAAGAATAAACATTTTCAAGGGAGGTTCGGCAACGGTTCATCAGTATCCGCGTCAGCCGCTGACCTCTCAAGGACGACCACATCGGGAGAGGTTTCATCGATTTCGGTGGTCGGTTAAGAAGAAGAAGTGACTTTTTGGGGTACAGATTTGAAAGTTTTCGCCATTGTTATCTAGAAAAGGCTTGGAAAATTTTAGGAGAAGCTGAAAGATGAAGGTCAAATGCATTGATTTGGGAAAAAAGTAAATAAGAACCTACAACTTACTAAGAAATCTTGAAGAATGGAGGTAAAAATATTAGAGCATGAAGAAGGGTAGTAATATCCTGAAAACTCGAGGGTAGAAGCTTGGTCAAAAGGTGAAAAATGAAAGAAGGAAGGAAGTATTTATAAAAGGTTCGCGCCGTTTAACATTCAGGGACGACCAGCCGATGACTGACAGGATGTTTTAGATTCTTTGTCATTTCTGTCACGGCGTATTGGAGAAGAAATCGAAATGCATATGTCGTTTCTCGTCGTTTCCGTAAACTTACTCTCCGATAAATGAGGGGACTATCTGTATACGGGTGAAACCGAGCCCTTTGGATGCCTCGGTTATCGATGAAGTAAACGGAGCAGAGATGTGACTATAAGGAACTGGAATCGAGGCAAAGAGCCCCTCGAGTCGAGATCCGAGCAAAACATCTGCCCTCGGGCGAATCGCGGCCACGCCCCTAAGTCCGATTTGAATCCCTAAACTTCGGAAAACGTTATAAGATAATCGGGCACGACTAACAAACGACCGTGATATTCGTGCCCAACCGGATATCATTGTGTGTATCTCGGCACGTATCGGCAGAAGATCAGTGATTACTATAACAGAAGATTTTTACCTTTTATGGAATTGTACTTAGAGTAAAACTTCCCTACTATATAAAGCGGAGTCTGACTATTCATTAGAGGATCATTGTAATTATCGAAGGCAGGCATTACTTTAAAGCTGTTATTGAGTCCGGGTTCACTCCCCATAATTGGTTTGACAATTTACCACGCCCTTTATCTATTTAATCTAACGCAATTTATCATTTGTATTGAATTAATCTGTGTATCCTTAAACCACATATAAATTTAAGAGAAATTTTCACAAACCACTATTGTTTAGTGGTTATTAGCTAGCTGTAGCTACCATTTAATATATTACTTCCTATAGCTATATTTTCAGTTTTGCTAGAGTGTATTCGATGTATTTAAGCTACTGTATACATGAATACAATAGCAAAACTCGGGAGTACAGCTAGGCAATTATTGTATTCGACTGTGTTCACGATATGTATTTGTGAATACAGTAACGTAAATAGCGTAAATCATGGTCTATTCAGCTGTTTTTAAACGGAAAGTGAATCAATTAACACAAATAGACTCCTAATATAACTCAACAAACTCAATTATAAATCTGAATACATAAATACATCTGAATACATAAATTATATTAATTAAAAAAAAAAACATATGAATACATTCATGGAATATAGCGAGACAGTGAATACATGAAATACATGGAATACAGCGAGATACATTGAAATACAATGGAAAAAAAGATAATGAATACAATGAAATACATAGAATACAGCGAGATACATTGAAATACAATGAAAAAAAGGTAATAGACTCTTCAAGTTGCTCAGCCCCAAACTCTGTCGTCTTTGTTCAAGAATAACCCTAATGTCGTCTCGTCGATAGCAGATTTCGAACCTCCATTGTCAGCCCCAATTTACCCTACGTCAGATTTCGACATTGATACGAAAGAGGATTGACATTAATGGAGAGAAAGTGGAGAAATAGAAGGCAACTCTCCTACTAGTAAAAAAGATGGGAGAGTTTAATCTTTTTCTTTTTACAGGTTTTAAATTCTTTCACCAATGAAAGAGGATTTGTTTAGCATAGCCTCCATTTTCGTTTAGCCCTAATTTACCTTTCAATAGCAGATATTGAACTTCCATCTTTTTCTTTAGGGCTTGATTTTGACATTGATCCAGAGCCCCAGGCCATTGACAATGAAAATTTCGTTCGACAATGGAGATGAATCAGTGGAGAGTCATGGTTGTACTCATGGAGAAAGACTGGCGTTGAGAGAGAGAGAGAGAGGGGATGGAGATAAATCTGAAAGAATGAGAGAGAAAAATAATACAAAGCGTATTTTATGGCTTAAGGGTAGGAGATAACCATAAATGAGTATTTGGCTATAAAAATCAAAAGGTAGCTATGGAATATAATTTTTTAAAAAGGTATTTAATTAAAATAAATAAGATATCAACCTTTGCCACGGGAGGTACAAATTCCTAAGTTTAACCGTTATCTGTTTTTTAGGGTAAAGAGTAATCATTTGGCAAATGAACATAATTAAGAGATAGACCAAACTCTTCCTATTTTTGACTCTATACTCTATATATTATGCTAACAGCCAACATAATATCCATGTTTTCCACGTTCAATTAGTTTATTATATAGTCATGTCTATGGATTAATTGTTGTAATACTTATCCTATGTGTACTATCATTGTTACACAGCATTCATACTTCTTTCTTATTTATCTCATATTCCCGCCATTTCCTCTTTAATTATTTGTTTTTCTTACCCTAATTCGTTTGCTGCAAGCTAAGTACCTTGTAATTAAATGTCCCGGGGAAAATATTTAAGGAGAATTCTGCAAAGGTTAAAGACAATCCAAATGCCGAATAGGATGAAACTAAAACGGTAAAAAGAGTTCAAGTTCTATGCTAACGCGGTAGAAATATTAATAGAGAGTGAATATGTCTCTCTTATGTTGTTGTGCTCTCGATATAAAGGCAGACCTATGATTTGAAGGTGGCAGGCGCACATTAGCGAAGTGTTCAACCAGTGCCCTGTGCCCCATCGAACTTTTAGTCTTAAAGGTTCCAAGCAAAATATATGTCCGTTTTCAACATATATACACTTACATATTTAGAATTTTTGTCGAAATTAACGGGGTACGATGACCCCCTTTCTACATGCGTAAGTCAGCCTTTCTCTTCATAACATACCATTTGTACATACATACAGTACAAATGTATTATAAGTTTAAATCTAAGAGCTCGAACCCCAAATTTATAAATAATTGGGGAATACTTACTATTACATTGCAACCTTTGATGGTAAAGGGGCAAGTGGACATATAGCCATTTTTAAGGATATTATTTAGAAATTAGCCAGTATTTATATTGTCCTGAATTTTTAAACTAAAAATTTTGTTCAGAGCAATTTAGAACATTTTTATCCTAAAAATTAGAACCGAAAAACTAAAATTCAGTACGCACTGGCTAATTTCTAAATAGCAGCCCTTTAGAGGTAAAAATTGCACGAGGCGCCCTATTTGGTCGCCCCCAGTTAACCTATACCCATTTTTTATAAAAGTTTTAATTTGTACCCACTTTTTAAACAACTTCATCCCCCTTTCTCCTCCTCTTTCTCCTCCTTCGTTTTCTTCTTCTTCTTCTTCTTCTTCTTCTTCTTCTTCTTCTTCTTCTTCTTCTTCTTCTCTTTTTTTTTCTTTTCTCCTTTTTTTTCTCTTATTTTTTTAGCACTTTCCTTGTATTTCTTTGTTCCTGTTTCACACAAAGAAAAATTTGTCAGTTTTGAAAATGGTGGTCGGTTCGTGGCCTTGAGCCTTGGGCAGGTTGGCTTCTGCTCAATCAGCATGGGTCGATTTCAAGTGACTTTTGCTCTGCATCAACCCTAATTGTTTCACACCCAATACCATTTGTATTTGTGGCTCAATCAGCCTTATCCCAACTGGAGATCTTTGCTCAGGTGACCTTTTCTGATATCTTGAATGAGTTCCTACTTTTTGAGCAATTTGTCTGTCACAAAGAATCACAAGTTATCTTTGCTTGCGCCAAGTAGGCTGACAAGAGTCTTTTTGGGGGGAGCCTTTGCATGAATCCTCAAGGTATGTGTGACGACCCGGCCGGTTGTCTCATGAGTTACCGGTCCGTTTCCCCATTTCTGCTCCTANACTAAATAACTTCAGCATCTTCTACTGAAGTTTTTGAAAAAGCTTATCCAGGACAAAAAAACTTCAGCTTATTTAGTGCTGAAGTTTTTACAAATGAACTAAATAACTTCATCATCTTCTGCTGAAGTTTTTGAAAAAGTTTTATGACAAAACTAATGAATCCACGACAAAAAAACTTCAGCTATTTTAGTGCTGAAGTTTTTACAAATGAACTAAATAATTTCAGCATCTTCTGCTGAAGTTTTTGAAAAAGTTTTATGACAAAACTAATGAATCCAGGACAAAAAAAACTTCAGCTATTTTAGTGCTGATGTTTTTATAAATGAACTAAATAACTTCAGCATCTTATCAAGGACAAAAAAAAACTTCAGCGTATTGCCTTTGCTACTTCAGGCCCGTCTACTAGAATGCTGAAGTTTTGCGCGATTGCCTTTGCTACTTCAGCCCCGTATGCTGAAGTTATGCGAAAAAGTGGGTACGCTTGCAATTTTTTTTGCAAAGTGGGCACAAGTTAAAACGTGACCCAAAAAGCGGGTATAGATGCAAACCCCCCTTTTGAGTGGTCATTTCTTCGATGGGGCAAATAGAGTAGGGCTGACCCAATGCTCCAGTAGCAATGTGAAATCTCGAAAGTGTGAGCGCTACTGTGTTAAACCAAAAATCAGAAAAAACTGTTAGAAAAATAAAAGAAACTGGAAAAACAGAAGAGTTTAAGAAATATTCCGAGTCCACAATTTTCTTGTGTGTCCTTAAGGAATTTTAACCCCCTCACACGTTGCCAAGGTAATGGATTAAATCCTCCCAGGATAAAACGGAATAAACCTTCCTGCAACAGTGGCAATACAAACTGCAGGATACCAACGAACTCAAAGAACGGAGCAAAATCACACTTACGAATTTGAGAGAGAGAGAGACTGCGAATTAGGATGCAGTATATTCAGAAAGAAAGAAGTTCTGGAGTGTTTTTCGTGTGTAGAAAATGGAGCCTTGCCTCAGAATTTATAGGCAATTATCAGAAGAGGTGTCTGGAAAAGGTGCCTTTTCAGAAGAATACGCTGCCTGCCGCGGTTCTACCGCGGTCGCGGCAAGACCGCGGTCAGAGAGGCTTCCTGAACCTGCCTGCCGCGGTTCTACTGCGGTCGCGGCAGAACCGCGGCCAGAGAGGCCCTCTGAACCTTCAGCAGGGTTCTGGCGTATTTTCAGCAGTGATTTGGCATTTAATTAATTATTAAATATTTAAATAAATTTTATCCAAAAATAATCTTATCGATCGATCATTTGACAAATCCAAATCCAATTCCAATTCCAATTCCAAATCCAAATCCAAATCCAAAGCCAAAGCCAAAGCCAAAGCCGAAGCCGAGCCGAGTGAGCGACGCCGACGGCGCGAGGGTTCATTCTCTTCAACTCCTTTTAAGAGCTTTAAGAAGTGATTCTATATATAAGCACACAAATGTGGTTGTCCCTCACCAATGAGGGACAAAGTGCAAGACAAAAGTTCACTTCTTCAAATGTTCAATTTCCCTCCATTTATTTCCCTCCATTTCCAATTCACACTTCTTCTACTTTAAAGCCCAATGGCTTAAAGTCCAACAATCCCCCACATGAATGGGAATGGCTATATCAAGAAAGATCATAGATGAAAGCTATGTGATTTTGCAAGTAAGGATTAATTGCATCTGGATAAGTAGGTTTCCCTTTGAACTTTCCGTAGTGAACATATGTCGGATATACTCGGTCAACCGGTAGATTTGATATCTTTGAACCGTCGAACTTTAGTGTATACCTAGACAACCATATGTCACACAACTAACCCTTAACCGTCTTTTGGTTCTCATTGTTGTGTTCGTTTTAGCCATGAACACCGCCTGGTTTCATAAGTGCGTAGAGAATTGGCCTTACAAAATTCTCATTGAAGCGGCTTCCACTTCACACTTACATAGGTGATTCCTAAACGTGTAATCCTTTAGATTGACACTATTTGATAAATACCTCATCAAACTTAGGTAATCATTAAAGAACGTGTAAAGTTCTATCCTTGTTATTGAACATTGTCTTCATCACGAGAATGGACCAAAGATTTTATTTTGACAATGTTGAACCGGTCAATCACAACTTTGTTTGAGCTCCTTGAACCTAGATCTCGGAACATCCAAAATTCTAGGTAGAGTTACCGCCATGTTGACTTGTCCTCGGCCATAGTCCCATTCCCTTAGATGATTTCTCAACTCCCTCTCTAGTTAAGCCTTTTGTAAGCGGATCCGCCACATTATCCTTTGATCTTACATAATCAATAGTGATAATTCCACTAGAAAATAGTTGTCTAACGGTGTTATGTCTTCGTCGTATATGACGAGACTTTCCGTTATACATAACGCTCCCTGCCCGTCCTATTGCAGCCTCACTATCGCAATGTATGCAAATAGGAGCCGAAGGTTTTGGCTAGAACGGAATGTCTTCTAAGAAATTTCGAAGCCATTCAGCTTCTTCACCAGCTTTACCCAAAGCTATAAACTCTGATTCCATTGTAGAGCGAGCAATGCACGTCTATTTGGAAGACTTCCAAGATACTGCTCCTCCACCAACAATAAAAACATATCCACTTGTGGACTTTGTTTCTGTTGAGCCGGTTATCCAATTTGCATCACTATATCCTTCGATAACCGTAGGATATTTATTGTAGTGCAAAGCGTAGTCTTGGGTATATTCCAAATATCCCAGAACTCGTTTCATTGCCACCCAGTGATGTTTGTTGGGATTACTTGTGAATCGACTAAGTTTACTTATTGCACAAGCTATATCGGGTCGTGTACAGTTCATGATGTACTATTAAGCCTTACCAACACACGAGCATACTCCAATTGAGACGTACTTTCACCTTTATTCTTTATAAGATGATGATTTAAGTCAATTGGAGTTCTTGCACTTCTAAATTCCAAGTGTTTGAATTTTTCAAGTACCATTTTCACGTAATGTGATTGAGACAAAGCTAGACCCTGAGGAGTCCTCTGGATT